TTTCCCTAAGCAAAGTGAAATCACTTTATAGTAACTATTAAATTTAAATCTTCACCACACATACCAATTTCCCTCAGTAAACTTGAGCAACTTCAGAAAGGTAAGTTACACACACACACACACACACACACACAACCAGGACTTGCAAACCAACCTAGCTTAGGCTCATACTACTTAATTTTGGGCATATCTGCCTGGGAATCTTCAGCTAGGTCACCTACAAGATGGGATAACACACAGCAAAATATCCGACACATAAAGCAGCTTTCCCTCTTACCCAACAAGGCAAAGCAAAAGCTGTTTAAACATGGTTAAGTCTTTAATGTTTGTTGAATGAAAGAAATTTTCTACAAAGTTGTAAATTTATAACATGCTTCCTGACCTGACTCAAAAAATGGTGAGTCAAGGTTTCCCAATGAAAAACTAGACCAACATGGTCAATGAACCTATAATTTATTATCCAAAGTACTGGCCTGGTACTAAACAGTGCCCGAAAAGAAGGGAAGTTCACCTATCTATAGCTTTGAAATGGAGATTGAGTTCACATCTTCAATATAAAGATCTGAAAAGTGGCCTACTGATTCTCACTGAATAAATTAAAAAATCTGTTTTCTCTTTTCCTTAAACTGTTTAAGGCTGTGGCACGCAGAGTAACTAAGCCTCAAAGATAACCATGTCCTAATCCTGGGAAGCTGTGAATACGTTAGTCATAATACTCAGCAAAAGAGAACTATGGTTGCAGATGGAATTAAGATTGCTAATCAGCTGGCCTTAAAATAGGGAGATTATGCTACATTATCAGGATGTGCCCAAGGTATTCACAGGGGCCCTTAAAATTTGGAAGTGGGAGGGAAGTCAGAATGACAGAAGCAGAGTCAGAATGCTGTGATGTGATTTGAGAGCTCGAATGGCCCTTGCTGGCTTTGAAGATGGAAGAAGGGGGCCATAAACCAATAAATAAAGGCAGTTTCAGATTCTCCCCTAGTCTCCAGAAAGAAATGTAACTCTGCCAACACCCTGATTTTAGCCCAGTTAGACCCATGTCAGACTTTTAACCTACAGAATCATAAGATAGTAAATTTGTGTTGTGGAAAGTCACCAAATTTGTGGTAATTTGTTAAAGCAATAGAAAATGAATACAAATATCTTTTTTAAAACGATAATTTTAAGAACTCCTTTAGAGTCCTTGAGCCAAAATGGAGATACCCTGGGACACTGCAAAATCAAGTTTAATTATCTCTAATAGAATGAGAAAACATTTCATTGTACAAAATTTAAACTTTAGGAAAAAAAAAAAAAATGCCACCACAGAAGGTTCTACTTCTAGTATGGCTGAGTAGATATTAGGCCAAACCAATGAGTAATAACTATAAACTCTGGACAAATAGTTTTTAAAAAAGAAACCAAAAAACTTTCTGAAGGCATTAGAGAACAACAAAATACATGTAGACACAGGAGAGTCTATACTTAGAAGAAACCAATGAGGGTTGAAGAGGGGCGGGCAGGTTCTTTACATCTTTTAGCCTGAAGACAGGCCCCACTCTATTTGGTGCTGGGCAGCTAAAACTCTTAAGAGAAAATCTGAAGCCTTAATGGCTTGAAGAACCACAGGCAAGTTTGGGACAATCACAGGCATGGTAAAGTGGGAAATCCCAGAAAAGGAAGAGCCAGAATAGAGAAGCCATGACCCCAAACAATGCATGTACATGAGGCAGATTCCAAGCAGTTCTGCTAAAAGACTGGATCAATATTTGAGTTGCTGCCCACAAGAGAGCTGACTTGCATTTGAGTTCAATTTAGTTAACTTCCGGCAACACCAACACTCTTTGGAGGAATTAACAAAATCTAGAGCTTCTATGACATCATTCACAATGTCCAGGATACAATCCAAAACTACTCAACATTAAAAAAAAAGGAAACAGAATCCATTTTCAAGAAAAAAAGAGACAATCAATAGAGATTACCAAACAATTTCAAAGCTGCTACAACCATGCTTAAGGACATAAAGGAAAATAATGTCAATGAATGAAAAAATAGAAAAAAAAAAACTATGAAAAAGAAACATGAAAATTCTAAAACTGAAAACACTATCTTTAAAAATGCCACAACTCTCTCATCCCTACTAAACTAAGTATTGGCTTGGGAGTGAGACAGTTAGTTGTAGAGTGGTATCAACATTACAGAAAGCCACGGGCAATTATTGAAGGAAAGAGAATTAGCCCATTGTGACTATCATTGCTCCCTAATTCATAATTTTAGGCAATTCTTGACAATCACTGAATTAGTTATTACTGCACTTTACAGAAAAGAAAAATGGGGATCAAAGGGATTAAGAAATGTGGCTCAAGGTCACAAAACTAGTGTCTTCCAAGCACTTCCAGACATACTACATTCTTGATATTTTTAAAGTAATGATGAGATGACAAGCCTGTGGCCAAAGAAAATGGCAGACCGCTAATAAAGCAGAAATTATAACAGTATAAGCAATTTATTTGAAAATACAAATGGTTTCTTTAAAAGTTTAGCTTTTAGGGATTTTATTAATGGGACTTTTTCATTCACACTTTTTCTGATTTTTCCTAGGTCACTCTGGTATCGCACTATTTGTAAAAGGTTATATAAGTTATAGGACATCTTCACAATGGAATGCTATGCAGCACTAAAAATGACAGTACAGAAATGTTTACTGATAAGGAAAGCTGATCAAAATGTATTATGGGGAAAAACAGGCTACGAAACAATGTGAACAATATCTGATAAAGAAAAATTTTGTAAGGTCTGTTAATTGTAAACATCAAAATGTTAACCTTTTAGTAATTTCCAAGTTGATGAGACAATAGGTGATTTAATTTTTTCAGCTTCTTCTATCTGCTGTTCCTAATATTGTTTTCCTACAATGTATTATTTGTGTAATAAAAAATTAAATTTGTAAATCAAACCATCATGCAGTACACCTTAAACTTATACAGTGATGTATGTCAATTATTTCTCAATAAACATGGGGAAAAATGAAAAATTAAACACATTCATCGACTCAACAAATATTTATTGGGCACTTACTACATACTGGGTAATGTTTGTTTTTTTTAAAAAAAAAAGGTTGTAGAAACTAACATAAAACGTGATTAAAATTTTTTTCCAATACCTTAAGTTATTTTTTTCATTAACACTGATTTTCAATTTACATTTCTAATTTCAAATTTACATTTTGCCTCAAAAACAGAAGAAACTAAAATCTGTACTCTATTTCTATTCTTTCTACTAGTAAACAAGGTCTGATCCACATCATCTCTCACCTAGGTGCTTTGCAGGAGCCTCTTAATTAGCCTTCCTGCCTCTGGCTTCAATCAAACCTATTCCACCTTCAGTCCCATACAGTGATTCATCCAATACAGAAACTTGACCATGTCCTTCTGCTCCTCTAAAACTCTTCACTAGCTCTCCAGTGCCTCTAAGATAAAGTCTAATTCTTTAGTATGGCATGCATGCAAGGAGCTCCACGATCTGGGCCCTGCCCACCTCTCTAATTTTATCTTGGCACTCATTTTCTCTCCAACAATGGAGTTCAGCAACACTGCTTAAGGCTTCTTATGAAGCTTTTTTTTTGCCAACTATCAATAGCCTTTTCTTATGTTGTCCTTTCTACCTAGAATACCCTTTCCCCAATCCATCTGACCCAATCGCTAAACTGTTAATATTGCCTCTGGGAAAAATCTTACACCATCTTCAAACCAAATTGGATGACCTTATTCATATTTCTAACACTGTATGTTTACGCTGTATATCTATCTTAATTTAAACTTCCTCTTAGACTATAAAGTCTAAAAGGACAGGGATTGAGTAAATGTGTTTCTTATCTGTAACACAGGGAAACAGTACCAACCTCATAAATTAGATTTAGAATGTAAATATTTAACACGGTGCTTGGCACATAAAGAGTACTCACTAAATGTTATCCACCATTATTATCCACATCGTTACCTGCAGTCTACTAGTGCATAGCCCACTGTAGGACCTTGAACATTTATTAAAAGACTAAACTCTGCAAAATGAAATGTTCCTATTTTACAACTAAGGATGCTAAGTGAGAAAATAAACAGCCAAAGTCACAAAACTAGTAAAGGCAGTAAAGTCAACATCCAAACTGAGGTCTAACTCTAAAGCCCCAAACTCATTCTATACTACTATGAATTATCTCCCTCTCTTTTGATAAGAACTGACTCAACCTATTTAACTGCAAGGACAAAAAGCTTCTTTCTTTCCAGTAAATGCCGTTGTCACTATCCCATTTCTGGAATCCGCATTTTTAATTTAACTTGACTGTTTCAACCTGAGATTCAATTTCCTTGCTTAAAATATGTACTTGGATTTCAAAAAACCATTCAAGCTCTAAAATCCTGCTGTACAGTATTTACGGTGGTTCTTTCACATAATTCGCTAAGATTATTTATCGAACTTTTCTGATAGGCAAAGCACAACTTCAGTAAATGAAAGAGTCACCCTTCTCTTGGCCTAAGGAAACGCTCTTAAAACAAGCCAGAGCCTACAATTCCAGAATTCTCTCCAGTACACTGCAGCTGGCAGCAACAAGGTCACTAGGCTTGATAAGCAAGGTGTCTCCTTTGGGGACGGGGATATTGGAAACAGATCTGGCAGACCCAGGACAGGCCTATGTTCCGCGCTAGAGCGAAACACCCTAAGACAGACCACCGAGAGACCCCTCCTTCATCCTCTCCTTCAGCAAATTAGGCGTACACGTCCCCCGTCCTGTGGAGGCCACGCATTCGCTGCAGTTACATTTGCTGACCCTCCCTCGGAGTTCCTCGCTCGGAGTGGAGCTGCAGCGGCCTTCCTGGGGAGAGGGCGAAGGCCGCGGCGTCCTTGCTGCCGCCTGCAGGCCTGTCCAGAGCCCGGAGGTCCCGTGTGTTCACAATAAAAGGTGGCAAGGAGAGCGGGAGAAGGACGGCGGCAGTGCCCGGGCTCATTCCGAGCCTCCTTACCCACTGGTAGGTGAGGCCGGCCGCCCGGGCCCGAAGCACCGCAGAGAAGAACATGGCGGGCCAAACTGTTTGCCTTCCTTGCCTTCCACGGCGGCGCCAGGAGAGTATCGCGAGCGAGCCCGGGACGCACGGCGTGCGCGCTCCCAAGTCAAGCCTACCGCGTCCAGGTCGCTACGCCGAAGCAGCGGGGGCGCGCGAGGGCGCGCGGGGGTTGCTGGGGCCTAGTGGGCGGAGATTTCCCGCGGAGAGGAGCGGAGTAAAGTACCAGCCCCCGCTCTAGAAGGTCGGGTCTTGCTGCTAGCCTGTTCTCCTTCGTTTCCTTGGGTTCTTAGGGAGAGAAATGCGTACCTGAATTTTGGAGTGAGATTCTCTCCTGGAGAGCCATGCGAGGATTTAATTATCTTTTTTTGTATTGTGGTTACTTAAAAATTTTTTATTTAATTCCCTCAAAATCATATTTTATAAATTTTGGAATTGAAGAGAGGGCTGCACCATGTGAGCTACATACGCATAGACCTTGGTTTCCATTCTTTTGCTTTAGAGATATGTGCCGACACATTTAGGGGTGAAATAATCTGACATCTAGAGTTTGCTTCAGAATAATGGAGAGTGGGAGATATAAATTAAACAGGATTGGCCATGAGTGACTGTTGAGGCTGCGTTGTAGTTCTCATTACTCTTCATGGTATCGTTGTACATGTTAGAAATTTTCCATAATAAAACTTAAAAAATCCACTTCTTTCTTGGTGTGTGTTTGGTCGTCTCAGAAGATTCCAACAAGCAGTTACTCAGTAACAGCTATAATATGCACAGCGCTGTTTCCCTCTGTGAAGAGTTTACCAGGCACTTCTGCCTCTTGATCTTTCTCTGCTTTGCCTTATTTTCTTGTGTGTCATATCCTGTACTCACCCTCTTTCCTTTGCCCATTTTCTTTGCTATAATAAACTTGTGACTAATGTCTGGAACTTGCCCAGCAGTACAGGGATTTTTAGAATTTATCTCTTATTTCAAAACACTAAAATATTTCGTTGCAACTCCTCATGAATCATACTTTACAAATTATGGAATTAAAGTTCCAGAGGGCTGCCAGCCAGTGAGGAAGAAATAGACATGAAATGCCTTGGTTTCCATTCCTTTGCTTTATCTTTTATATTAGTTTGCTTCTCCAAAATTGACTGCAGAATTTCCCTTTTAAAAAGAAAATATTCTGGCCTTCAATGATGATTTAAATTATTTTATTATAAAGTTACATAAGTATATATAACCCCAGCACTGTTATACATATAACACTGTACTTCTAGTTCTTAAACAACTAAAACCAAAACATCACAAATTAAGTACATACAAACTTACAAATGGATGATACTGACTGATAGGGCATTCTTTGAATCTGGTATGCATGCTTTTGTTGCATTCTATTAGGGCCTTTTCTGACCTCCCAGTCTAAACTAGTCCTCATGGTAGCTTCTCTAAATATGCCCGCCACTACTTTCATTACCACATTTACCAGGAGATTGTAACCTCCATGGGTGCAGAAACCTGCCCTTCCCAACCTGTTTAGTTCAACAACTTTCAATGTACCTGGCATATGGAAGGCATTCATTATTCGTTGACTGAATGAAAATCTGCACACAGGACAAATATTTGGCTTCTCTAAAAGGGTTGTATGTCTCAGGTTGGATTTATGCTTATATGTATGTATATCAACAAGAGATCTTTTTGCTACAAGTAACAGGAGACCCAACTAAAGCAAATTGAACAGTGGTGTTTATATTATCTCACACAAAAAGAATTCCAGAGGTAGAGCAGTTCCAAAGTTAGATAATTCAGTTGCTCAAGGATGTCCTCAAAAACTTGAGTGCCTTTCATCTTTCTACTAGGCTGTGACTCACAAGATAGCTGCAGCAGTTCCAAGTATTATATGTAGACGACACCATCCAAGAAGAAGACAAATTTTTACCTCTAAAGTGTTTCAGATGCTTCTCCAGCAGACTTCTCTGTCTCATTGGCATACCTATCAGACCAGCATAGATGTCAGTGACTTCATTAACCCTACAGGCTTGATTAAAATCGGCTTGATTATACGCACCTATGGCTGCCTGGTTAGGTATATTTTACTATTTAGACGAGTGCTGCTACCATAAGCCCAGAAAAGTTGGCCCTCATTATAATGGTCAACCCTTTAATTAAAGAATGTATGTGTGGGGGGTGGGGGGGGTGGGGGGAGCGTGGAACTAGAGGAGCTAGAATAATGACCAAATGTGGGAACTTCAGCTCTGCTGTTACTCATTTCTTTTCCATTTTAACCAATACAAATAGGTGCTGTTCAGGACATAGTATAATGAAAAACATGAGGTTTGTAATCAGAAGGACTTGGATCTGAATTCTGACTTTATCACTTATTAGATTCTGTGAAGCTTTGGTCCTCAATTTCTGAAAGTACAATTAGAACATTAAATCATTCAGTTTATGTACAATGATTAGCATGGTTCCAGGCACACAGTTCTTTCTGATTTTTAACAAGGTGGTCCACTCCATCTGTGGAACATTTTAGTCATGTATTCTAAAATTTAATTATGTCCTAGGCCACATCCTACTTATGAAAGCAGCCTCAGATGAATCATGATGTACTCTGCCTCTCATATATGCCTGTTCTAGCAATACTGACCAGCCTGCATTGCCGGGTTTTCTAATGAATAATGTGAAATGCAGTTCCAGTCTTGCTTTGAGGGAAGAAGAAGAATTAAGAGCCAGTTGTTATAGTCATAACTTGAGGGGAAAAAAGAATGGGTTACTGCTGGATGAGTAAGAGAGTGTTTGAGAGCGGCCTAGGAAAGTAGTTCAAGCAGAAAATTTGAAGATCCAAGGAAAAGTGATATGGTAACAATGGTACACTGAAGTGTTAGGCCTGTTTCATGCTGTTTTGTACTGCAATGAGGGTGGACATAAGGGTAGTGAAAAACTTTTTCATGATCCTTCCAAATTCTTCTCAAGTTAATCTTGGATATGTGGGGACAAAAAGGGAAATGAAAATCAAATGGCCAGTAACTTAGCTATACAAACTTTAAGAATAAACTTTAAAAAAATAATAAGCAGAATCACATCTAAGCCATTATCAGATTCAGGTCACTTGTGACTTACCTACTGTGGGACTGAATTCTAATGGCTTCCATGGCTCAAGTGAAATTTCCTCTCAGAATCTGATAAGCACTCCCCTAGCAAATAATCAAAGTAATTAACACTAAATATAATTTTTGCCTAAGAGATTGGCAACATTTTAAGATTTCTAACTGCTAATATTGGTAATGTGAGGAGCCACATCATCCAGTGATCATAGTAATGTAAATAACATTAGCCTCTCTAGAGGGTAATTTGGCAATATGTATTCAGTTTGTTAATATGCATACCCTTATTTTACCCAGCAATTTTACTTCTGTGAATTTATTCAAAGGAAAAGTATACAAAGTGATATGTATAAATATGTTCATCACAGTATTATTCATCCTGAAATCCTGGACACTGAGTAAGTGATTGTTATCAACAGGGAACTGATTAAATTAGTTACAGTACAGCCATACAATGGGGTGTTACTTTGTAGATTAAAAAATAATAATTAACATTGATATTTATCATAAAGGAAAAATGCCCATGATATGTTAAATTTAATTTTAAAAATTTTACAAAACACCATGTGTAATGGGACTACACCTTTTGTATGTACATAGAAAATAATATGGCAAGGTATATATCAAAATGTTAGTAAGAGTCCTCTCTGGGTGATGGGATTTAAAGTAATTTTTATTTTTTCTTTATACCTTTTGTATCATCTGAATTTATTTACATTAACGTGTTATTTTTATTACAAGAAACAATAGTTGTGTTCATTTTGAGAAAAGTCTAATAAAGGAAAACTAAAAGTGAAAAATTAATACATAATTCTCTTCTACACTCGGTTATTTTTAGTGGCTGAAAACCTCTTCAGAGTGTACTTCCTTTTACTGCTATTAATTTTCATTTCAGTTTTTAATATAGGGCATCAATGAGTGTGGGCTGTGAGGAGGGAAGTGGGCCAGTTCTTAGGCGTTTTGGGCAGAAGGAACAGCTTAGGACTCTCTCCCAGGCTGGCTGCTCCTTAAGACCCCTGTGTACATATGAATTCATGATTTCCTTGACCAGTTACAAAAAGATTCATATAAAATTTCTTTAAATAGCCAATTCTCCTTGCTCATGTAGAATATTCCTTGACTAAGAAAAATCATAGTAGCTTTGTATAATTGTGTGATGTGGTATAAATAGTCTAAGCCGTATAATGAAAGAGTGATCAGAGCAGGGTAAAATTGGTCAGAAAAGTTTTTCATTCATTCATGTACTGTACAAATATATTGTCGACCCCTATTATGTGCTGGGTACTAGGGCACTAGAAATTCTAAGGCAGAAGATCATAGTCCCTTCTTGGGAAAACCTTACACATTTCAGAGAAACGATTATAAATATCAAATGGATATGCAAGATGAAATGAGAACTTAGAGAAAAGAGTGCCAAAGTCTTCCTGGGGGCATTAGTGTTGGGCTGACACTTGAAGGTTATGTAGAAAGTTTTCATCTGAAAGATGTGAAAGGTAAGTATTGTTAGAGTAGCTATAAGTTCAAGGTGGCAATAACCTCCTCAAACTGATTCTGCTAATAAAAAAGGTTAGGGGAGACGTTTCTCTCTTTCTTCTGGGGCCACTTCCTACCAGGTAATTTCAGTGCATAACAACAAAGGCACTTGATGCTGGTGCTGGGACCTTCATTATCTCTTATAGAAGGAAGATGATTTGGCAGGGACTTGCACGCTACTGTGTGTTAACTGCTGTGTGTTAATGTCAAGATGGCATGTGAGAGAATTTTTAACCTAGCTAAGAAAGAGCTATGGTACCAGGGAGGTGGAAGGACAGGAATTGTATGAATTCCAAGGTAACATGATTTAATGAGTCCTGGTATCAGCATTTTAGAACAAGAAAACTAGAAAAGATCTGGTCCAATTCACTCACTTAACAGGTTAAAAAAAAAGTTACTGAGATTGCCAAGATCTTAACAACTGGTTTCTTCCGTTTAAATACATTATTAAATGAAATGTTCTATATAATGGTGCTCTTATATAGAACATTAATAGGCAGATTCATTTTGTTCT